GCCGCGGGCTGGGGCTTGGGGACAGAAGTCACCGCCAAGGTGAAGGAGGAGCTGGTGCCCTTCAACCCATTCGCCATGATGGGCTGTGTGACCAGCAGCCCCCCCGTCCCCTCCGGCTGCCCCACCACGTGGCCTGGTAAAGTCGCCTGAATAAGATGGGGGACGGTCCCAGGATTTGCAACCAGTGGCGTGTTCAAAACTGTAATGGTGGGTTGCGGCACGGACTGAATAACGGTGTTGAACATCTTCTTTCTAGCATCTTCGATCTCCTCTGGTGACCAGCTGATGCCTTGCTTCAATCTCTGGGCAGTGAACCAGATCTTCAGCTGCTCTTCTGGGTACTTCGTCACCACGGTCAAGTAGCAGAGCTCGGCTTTGGTGGGGTAGGGGAACTTGTGGAAAGAGTTTTTCAGGAAGCTGTTGGAGTCCATGGCAGCATTGTATGTTGGAATGCTGCTCAGGGGAATCATCACCTTGGGAAGGGACTTGGACGTAGGTAGCTGCTGATGCAACGGGGGTTGCTGCTGCAGTGACACAAGTTGTGCAACACCCGCCTGCAGAACAGGCACGTTTCCTATGATGGAGCCATTCACGATATGAGATGATTTTGTTGAACTCGCAGTGGGCTGGCTGACCGGCACGGACCCATTTGGGAATGAATGCTCTCCGTCTTTCACCTCCGACTCACTGCCCAACTGACTTGATGCATTCTCCTTCAACGTGTGGATTTTTTTGGCCTCGGGTTTACCTTTCATTATCTTCATGATGGGGGTTTTGGTAATGATAATTTCAGACTGGCCGTCCACTCCTTCTTCAGGGACCTCTCCTGGAAGGTCGTGGCTGCTGGTGGCCTCACAGAGACTTTGCTCCACAGTTGTATGATTGTCCTGCTTAGCCACCCTCCAGACAAAGCTCGTTTCACCAGCATGTGACTCTGCATTGTGGTGCGAGAGCCCTTCGTGGCTATTTGCCAGAAAGTTACACGCAACACATGCAAAGGCAGGGTCTTTGCTAAAGTCTAAGTGCTCAGAGTCCAAGTGCCCAAAGAAATGATGAACGTCTTGAGATCCAAAGTCACAAGACTTGCAGATATAAGTGTCACTGTCAGCAATACCGCGGTGCCCGTTCGACAAAGCTCCGTTATTACTGCTACTGGCACCAGCATCACTAGCTGCTGGCCCTTCCGCAGGAGCATCTTGTTGTGTTCCTTCACGATTATTTTCTACAGCATCCAGTTCAGTCTCCTGAAGCACCAGTGTTTTTACTGGTATCATGCAGGGAGTTGTGGATTTTCTTTTGCTAGCCATCACTTCAATTGATCCAGACGATTATTTTTCTTTCATTTAAATTAAATTTGAATTTAAAAAGCTCTACTGCAAGTGCTCTGTGGTCTAGATTCCAGCAAATTCATGATGTCCCAAGGAGTTGTTGTCAAATGTTGACAAATGTTCATATTTGCCACTGAACCTGAGGACAAGGAGAGGGAGGAGGGGTTAGTTCCCTTGGCATGAGACAAAGCACAACTGTCCTAGTATTTAACTGTTCCACTCAATAAATCATTTTCAGTCTCTTTTGCTGGAAAAATTTAACTTGACCTTGGATTTACTGTATTTTAACATATACAACCTGTGAATCACCTGTTTAAAAACAAGCGCACAGACATGCCTTTCTTACAGCCTCCATCAAATTCTCATTTGAAGAGGAAAACCACCAAAATTTCCCCTCACCCTGCCCAGACCCACCACCAGTGTTTCGGTGGGGAGAGCAGTGCCCGGGCTCCCTGCGCACCCGGGCTCCTGCCTCAGCAGCACTAAGGAGGTGATACCAGGCAGGGTCACCCTGGGAAACCCACTTGCTCTCCATTAGAAAAACCCAACAACAAAAACAAAATCAACACGTTCCCCACAGAACGTTTCTATTTCTTCAAAATCAGCATTTTCCAACCATCCTGTTGGGAAGTTTCTCGCCAGCTCAAAGCACTGTGCCCGTGCCAAGGGCCTCTGCCTGCAGAGATGCCAGGAGCTCTGCCGCAGGGAGCACGAAGCCTGCAGCCAGGTCCGTGTATTTTAGCCCTCCTTGCTCAGCAAGCCTGCAAAGCATTTGTGAGATTTCCTCCCCAACCCATGCACACTTTGTTAGTGTTTTAACAGCATCTGTTGAGTTTTCCTCTGGAGCTGCAAAAGGTGGTAAGGCCCCAAAACTCAAGGCCAGCATCACACACACGTTCCTGGCTCCCAGCCTTCCCCTCCCACCACCTGCGCAGCTTCTGGCATTCACACAACTCGGCACACTGGGGGTATCTCCTAAGGAAGTGTAATTTCTCTGCAACACAAGCCCATTTTGCGGGGCTTGGGGTGATCAGAGATCTGTCACGTTTAAAACAAAAAAAAAACAAACAAAACCCCCCCCAAAAAAAGCCCCCCAAAAAAACCCACCAAAAACCACCAATTTTTTTCTTCTTTTTTTTTTTCCTTTTCTTCTGAAGCTAAAGTAGTTCCTGAAGCACTCCAGCCTGTGTAAGGCCAGGTCAGTCCAGGGCATTAGCCACAACCTTATTCCTGGCCTGACGTAGCTTCCCCACATGCACAGCGAACGCTGCGTGCCTGCGATCACGACCCGCGGGCAGTAAAGCTGTCTGCTGTAGCTGGCACCGGGAGTCACTTGCCTGGTGACAGTCCCGATGACAGGGAAGGCAACACATCTGAGGGAGCAACATCTCTGCTTTAACCCCTCTGTCAACCTTTTATATAGCAATTCTGCTTTTTTTTTTTCTTTTTTCTTTTTTCTTTTTTTTCTTTTAAACACAGGGATAAAATGGTATTTTTCCAGATTGCAAGGTCACTTGAAAGCACATGGACGCACCGATTCATATTACAAAGACTCCGTGCCAGATATTCCTAGGATTTACAGTAACAGCGACAGAGCTTTATAAAAACGTTCATAAAAACTTGAACTTAAAAAAAAAAAAAAAGCCCAACTTACCATCCTACCAGATGACTCACAGAGGTAACTCCTATCAGTTACAGCAGTTGCGCACCAGTAGCTTTCTCGTATCAGATATTCTGAGCTGATCTCATGCACCGAGAAATGCAGATCGGGCAAATGACTTTGTGGTGCTTATGCAATACCTCCTCTGCTTATTTTTGTCACTAGCTTTTAGAACAGAGGAATGAGAGATCTTAATGCAAAAAAAAAAAATAAATCAAATGGAGGAAGTACAATTTGACCTCCCTAACTTCGTTAGAAATTTTTTAAGAAATTGTTCTGAAGAGTGACATCATTTTTTCCAAAGAGGAGAGCCCGGATGGCCGACTCTGGCCTCAGCAACTCTCAGGCACCGTTTAAAAGACGGATGGGAAAACGTAACTTCCCGTTAACGTGGGCTGATCTGAGATTACAAAACAGTCCTGTAAATAGTGTTAGTCATCGCTGAACTCGGCATCAGAAAAGACTGTTTGCTATGCTAAAGCTTTGTGAAAAGCTAGAAATTATAACTAAAAAAATAAATCTATAAATAAAAAAAGGTATTAAAGCTGTGATCTGGATTTACACAGTGTGAATTGCATGCTCTCAATACCTGCTTTATGCCACTCTCATCCCACCTTCTCGTGGTTAGTCTTTCTCTCTGCAGAGGGGCCAGAAAGTTATTCATTAGCATTAGCAAGTCGAATACTTGGATGACTATGAATGGGCTTTGCTATTCAGAGGGGAACAGCATCCATTTGACACCAATCCCAAGATCCTCATTTTCGATGCTAAGTTAAATATTACACAATCTAGCAGGGTACGATGAGCTTTCCAAGTCGAGTCAATTAGGAAAAAAACAATAAGACCAGCCTGAAGGCTACAAAATATAGCTTTAAAGGCTGCAAGGATGCAACGGTAAAAGATAATTCTTATTTAATTTTATTCTGCAGCTCTTACACAGGCCAGGGAGCAACTGCTGGGCCCTCTGTAAGCTTTTTCATTTCCAGAAAACTCCTGATAGAGATCCAGTTCCAGAGTCTCCATTACCGAGACAGCTCGAGTCCCAGACGGATCTCACCTAGCGTTTATGGAGTCGCCAGATACCAAAAAGATGATTTTTATCTGTCAACAGAGTAAATTTGATACAGAGCAACGGAGATATACAAAGACCCCCATTGTGCCACGTTAACCGAGTGCCTCCCCCGAGCACGCCGTTACAATTCTTTTGGGTAAATGTGAGCGGCCTGACCCACCTACGGAGAACCTAAAAGCTCTGCATTTCATTTACCAGCACATTTGCATCGAGCTCCACGCCCTCTCCGACAACTTTCGTTAAAAATGCAATCAAAGCAGCCCCAGCCGCCGCAGCTCTCCTGCTGGGGCTCCAGTATTAACGCCACCTGAGAACACAGATTGCGAATTTAGCTGGAAGTGAATCACAGTGCCAATTTACTGGGAAAAAAAAAATTTAATCAAGTGTACTGTTTGTCCATTTCATTTTCATGGAACAGTTGCATAACCACATGTTCGGAGCGTGTTTTATTCACTGCTCACCTTCTGGAATGCACTAATACTTTAATACACCACTAATATATAACAGAATGGACAATTCACCGATTTCTCTGTCATTAAAGTAAGTGAGACTGTTTTAATGGATAGGGTAAATTAATGGCAGAAAAATTAATCAATTAAAAACCAGCCTTACAACAGAGCTCAGTATACCACCGCTGCAAACGCCTCAGACCAATCCGTACAGCCGAGTGTGAAGAACTTTATTTCCTATGTATTATTTTATGATTAACTGCAGCAAAGAGACATCAGCTGAATGGAAGAGCTACCTGGCAGCCGGGAAGACAAAGGGATTGTATTTAAGTTAATGTTCCTATTTAATTTATACCTGTTAATTTAATAGTGAGGTAGCAGAGAAAGCAGGTCGAATGACCTACTCACCTAAACCTGCCACTGCTGTTGGAAATTGAGGGAAAACGGACTTAAAGCAGAGTTAAACTGATTCTGTCCCGGTGATGCTCCCAGAGAAACCAATGCTGGAAGGAAAGGCAGCCCAAAGGCTCCTTTGGCCAGGTCGGAGCCCAGCCCAGCACGTGGCTGGGGGTACGTTTCTCTCGTATCTACAGCACCAGGAACTGACCTTGGGGCTGACGTCTGTTCGCTCACACGACAGCGAGACAACCGTGCACACCCCGCTCCCGTGACGGGGACGAGCAGCCCGGCCTTTGCCCAAGGCAGGCACGAACCCCGGTGAACAGCTTGGGTTGGGTCGGGTCGTGGTTGCCCATCCTTGGCATACGGCTGCGATTGCCTGTCTGCATAGTTCTTAAAACGGTTAAAAAAGTCACCATGAGAAAGATCTACTCCACTGGTAGATGCTGTGTCACCACATTGTGGATATAGGGACCGCCAGGTTCGTAGCCACCCATCAGTTTCTCAAGGGCCGTGGCTCAGAAGAGGCAAGCCCCGTCCTCGGAGCCAGCGGCGAGGGCAGGAGGAGCCGCAGGCTGAGCTCGCTCCTACACGGCCCAGCTCTGCCCAGCTCTCCTCCTTCTAAGAGACTCCCCGAAGGCCACACGCCAGAGACCCATCTCCAGCTTACACACAAGTACGAGGAGCACCGTGACACGTGCCACCCCTAGCAATTCAGAAAATGATAACAGAGAAGGAAGATGGAAATTGTGAAATCCAGGATCCCAACCTCTGAAAACAACGCAGCATTTCTGCTAGAGACAGCCCCAAACCTACGGTGCCGCTATGACTATGAGCATCGCCCTCCTGCAACACTCCCCGTGCCAACCCTCCATCCTTCCTCCCCAGCACAGGAGCCTTCCCGTCCCCATCGGCAGGTCCAGGTACACACCACTAACCCTCCGTAGAGCAGCTTTGCCTCCGCTGAGGAAAACAATGTCGAGACCGGTCAAAATGAGCTTAGCAATTTCAGAAAATTTACTTCTGCAGAGATTAACAAAGGGAGGTTTCGAAATCTGCACTGCTGAGTATGAACTTTCAGCTTTTTCCAGCTTGGCTGGATATAACTGGTTTGGTTTTAAATGTTTCAGTGAATTAACGAGTTAGGTTGTTAATGCAAAACATTCATTCCGCACAGCGCCAAGGTCCCCAGTTAGAAGATTAATTTTTGTGACCTTTTGCAAACCTCGCCTAGAAACAACAACCAGAAAACCCACCAGGCAGCATCACGGCACAGCAGCTCTGGTCCCACCGCCCGGGCACGGGGACGACGGGACAGTTGCCCTGCTCTGCCCCCAGCCCAGCCAACTCCTGGGTGCCCAACACTCACGCCGGGGACAAGGCTCCACACGGACACGTA